TGGTCCACAGCACAAGGGATCACCAGCACCAATGATACCCTTCTGGATACACTGCAGATGCCAATCATTGAATAGCCACAGAGGCTGTTCTCCCCCTCTCTTCTGGAGCAGGTCCTTCCATGTCAGGGCCAAGACACATCAGCCAGGCAGTGTAGGGAAGCTTACTCAGCTGCTGTCTGTACCATCAATAAACAAATAAATTTCTGGCTCAAGGGCTATCTGCAACTTTCAACAGCATCATATTCAGAAGATTACAAAATATTAACCTTTTGGCAGGAGTTTGTATGCTCAACACTGGACATTATAGCCAGAATCATCCACGACTGTAATCCCCAAAGATGTCTGATTTGGTCGCATGGACTTCATGTTAAAATTCAACGCAAATATTTTACAAACTGTTCAGTTCAGCTGCTAAAAATGGGATGGGAGTGGGGGGTTCACAAGGATAACACTCAAGGGTGAGCTGAAATCATCCTGTACCTTCAGTAAGTGGAAAGAGTTCACTCATCTTCTGGCGGGCTCTTCTAAGCTTTACCAGCTCTCCTTCCTGGCGGAGCAGTTTTATCAGGTCCAAGTGACAGTTATAGTCAAATGCATTGATGGAAAGCTTTAAAAATGAGATTTAAAGAAATGTAAGACAGAGTACATCTAGCAGTTTGAGCAGGAAACTAGGATACAGAACTCCGGAGTTCTATTTTGGACTGTGCCATCGACTCTATGAACTTCAGCGTCTCAGATTATGGCTACACTAGAGATCTTATAGCAGCGCAGCCACATTCAGTCAACGGGAGAGAGCTCTCCATCGATTTAATTAATCCACCTTCAACGAGCAGTGGCAGCTGGTGCTTTGGTCGTCGCTCAGGGGGTGATTTATTCACATCCCTGAGCAACGTAAGTTACACCGACCTAAGTGGTAGTGTAGACATAGCCTCAGTCTGTTCATGTCAGATGAATACAATACATACACCTTCCACCGTCCCTCATGGGGTAGTGCAAGGTTTCGTTATTGTTTGTAAAACCCAATGAGGGCACAAAATGAAAGAAGTCAGGTTTATAAAGAAGACATAGAGGGTTGAATTAGGCTCTCAGAGCAAGAAACCACTGTTTAATATGTGGATCCTCAGGTGATAAGCATAACAAGCGAGTGCCTGCAAGCCTCACTGAGCAGTTGTGCATATTGACCAAGTCATCATTTCAATGGTAAAAATGAGAGTATGTATCCAAACTGCGTTAATCTCCACTTTTCAATAACATTGTTTAACAAAACTGAGAATTTGCTCTAGTAAACTAGTATAAAAACCCAAAAGAGTTTCAGCTTCTCCTACAGTAACTGGAATAGCCAACAAAAGCAGTTCTCATCTACAAGGTACAGTAGTTCTGAGCTGTCAAAAGACTGAAGTTCTCTTCTCATTAAGATTCTGCCTCCCTTTTCTCAGTGTCTGTCAAGCTCAGAAAAATCCCTAGACTTGTTACTGTAGGGTCCACCTTGAATGTCTGGTGCTGAAATGGACTGCATGCTCTCAAACTATATTAGTCCTCAAAAATTGCTGCTTCTGGCCACAACCATCAATTATTTCAGTAATCAGTGCATAAAGAAACCCCTCTGAAGTTAGCAGCTATTCCATAGTTTGCCATAGCAATTAAATTGCTGAAGGATTACACAATAGGAGGTCTTCTTTACACAGGTATAACATTTTCATAATTACCACTCTGAAACTGAGAGCAATTAGCACACTTTTGTAGAAATACTGAGAGTGTCTCCAACTGAAAAGGCTCTGTAGCAAGATGGCCAGTGAAGGTACACCTTTCAATTCTCAAACTAATAGACAACACACACAAAGTTTAGGAACAGTGTAATTTCCATACATTTCACATGATTATAAAGCTTGGAATTTGATACTTGATTTTTTGAAAGCAGTTCCGGGATGTGATCAAAGAAATTGAGACTATATATAAACTGAAAGGATTTCTTAATCCTTTGCAAGAGACAGCAGAGTTATACAATCCTGGATTAACACTACAAAATGGATATACACGAAAGGAGAATTACCCACGCCTAAAAGTTTAACCCAGTATACTCACTTTCTTCCACAAATTCACCCATCAATAATATCACATTCCTAGTCCATTGGTTCACAATAATCTCACTCTCCCCACATGCTAACTATGCTCCAATATTTAATGAGGGACTCTCATACAGACTCCCTCACCTATTTATTCATTTGCTCCATAGGGATATCAATATTTCATTCATCATTTGCAGCCCAGTAGCACCCACAACATGCAAGGACACTGCTATACATACACATGAAGACAGTCCCTGCCCTAAAGATCCTTACAGATGAAGACAACGAGCAACACAGAAAGGGCGGCGATTGATACTATAAGTTTATGGACATCATAGAAAGTGTTTTTTTCTCCTTAACACTGACTAGCCCTCAGCCTAGCTAGCACCGCGATGGGGGGCCGCAGGGTGCCTGGCCGGATGGACCCCAGCCCTCAGGTGCCAGGTCCCATTCACGAGTCCTACAGGAATGGAAAGCCCGGCAGAAAAGGCGCAGCTCTGGATCTCCTGCTCAGGAAGCACGTGGCACTGAGACAGGACGGGGTGCGGGGAAGATGTTCTCCTGGGGGAGCCAGGAGCAGATGCCAGAATGGCGGGCGCAGCTCCCTCCCGCGGCAGGGGGAGAAAGGGATCCACTGTGGAAACCCTAAAGCCCCCCGAGGCACAGTGCCCAGACCCGCACCCGGGCACGGTGCTCGGCCCGCGCGAGGCCCCCAGGGCGGCGGGCCGGGAAGGAGGGGCTCCCTCCCGCGCACCCCGAAGCTGGCCCCGCCGCCTCGTTAGCGCCTCAGCCGCGGAACCCCCCCCCCACCCAGCGATCCCGGCGGCCCGCGGCAAGCCTCTGTGCGCGGGGCCACGGGACGGGACACGCTGAGGCAGGCCCCACGCGGGGCTCCCCGCCCCCTACCTGCTCCTCCAGCCGCTGGATCTCGGCCTCGTTCTCCTTCTCCTCATCCTCGCCGTCCGCCGAGGAGTCCGAGTCGCCCTCGTCCCCGCACTCCCCCTCCGACTCGCGAGCCCCCTCCCGCCGCCGCTCTTCCTCCGCCGTCGTCGCCGCCGCCGCTGCCTCCTCCTCAGCCCCGGCCGCCGCCATCTTGTGCAGCTACCTCGGTTGCGCAGCCTGCCGAGCTCGGCCAAGCAGTGGGGCTGCCCCTGGCGCGCCTGACCGAACCGCCCCCACACAGATGCTGACCGCAGCCCCGTAGAGAAGAGCGAACGCCCGCCTGGAGCTCGCTCTACACAGTTCCGCGGCAACGGCCGTTTCCGAGTAGGGATTCACGGCCTTCCCGTGCACGGATTCCTACAGGCACCTGTGTAGCCTCCTCGGGCCCTGGGCACGTAGGGGCCTTAGGGAAGGTCGCCCTAGCCATGGCTTGACGATAGGGGAAGGACCCAGGCTTAGCCGCCATATTGTGTGTGGCAACAGGCTCAAGAGCTTGGTTGGGCTCTCTGATCAGCTCAGTCCATAGCAAATGGCTCAGGTCCTGCTGCCGTGTCCCCGCTCATCCTCCCCCCCCCCCCTGCAGGATTCATCATCATAACTGAAAATTCAGTAAACACGGGGGGGAGGAGGGTGCACTGCACAGGAAATTAAATACTCATTACTGTATTTATAAAGTTCCCTCGGCTGCAACACTGGAGATGCGCCATGGGAATTAAATATAGTCATGTGTACTGTGTTTGCAAAGCTCCCCCATCCCACTTGGCCCCTTACTGGGGACGCTGCAAAGAAATTCAAACAATAACTAGTTGCAAAGCTCTCCCCATCCCGTCCAACCACGGTGTTCAGGATGCTGTCTAAAAACTGATACACTAGCAATGCATCATATGATAGCGAGGTCTTAAAGATGTTGGGAATGGGAATATTAATTCATCAAAAAGCTTGATGCCGCGGTTTGCACTCACTCCCCCGAAGCCAAATAAAACGGCCAGGAGCAAACAAAACAGACCAACAGGAGAGCTACTGCATTTAGCTTTCGGATAGTGAATCCTCACTAGCTGGCTATCAAACTACAGCACAGGTTTCAGAGTAGCAGCCGTGTTAGTCTGTATCCGCAAAAAGAACAGGAGTACTTGTGGCACCTTAGAGACTAACAAATTTATTAGAGCGTATATATATATCTCCTCGATATGTTTCACTCAATATGCATCCGAAGAAGTGGGTTGTAGCCCACGAAAGCTTATGCTCTAATAAATTTGTTAGTCTCTAAGGTGCCACAAACTACAGCACAGTAAAGCAAATTCAGGGGGGGTGGGACAAATTCAGGCTTGGGATAAACAGCATGGGAGGCAATCATCTGTCACGGTGAGTCCTGTAGAGGGCTCTGAACATCAGGACAGAGCCTTGGAATTGAGATCTGAAGTCACTGGGGGGCCAGTGCCAGAAACAGGCACCGGGTAAATCTGTGAGCATTTGGACCAACTGGAGCTTCTGCGGGGCTTGTGGCGTCAGTCCTAAATCTCGTCCTCGCTCTATCCCCCCAGCACGTCCTTCATCTACACGCGTCCCTCTTCGCCGGATCGAGGCCAGAGTGAATTGCAACAATCCAACCCGGCGGGCACAAAGGCGTGGCGCCCCGGGCCCGGGCTGCCTGCGCTGGGATAGCAGGGGGCTGGCATGTCACCCGCCTGTGGAAGTGGGTGTTTTGGTGGGTACAGCGCCGTGCGCGGGGGGGACCCGGCAACGTGCGCAGACGTGGAGGGGCCGTTTCCCAGGCTCCGAGCAAAGGGCTGCGCCGGCCCCGGGCAGCACAACAATGCGGCGCAGCAGCTGCAGGGACGGGAGGGGCGGGTCGGGTCGGGTACGCGCCCTCTGCGACCTCCGACCCCGGCATCACCGCCTCGCGAGGGGGCGGGGCCGGCGCACGTGTGGGTCACGTGGGGCGGGGCGTGACGTAACGCTCTCCTAACAGTGCGCAGAGGGGTGGGGGGGGGGATTTCGGGAAGATGGCGGCGCTGCGGATGACGGGGGGCCGGGCTGCTGCTGCTGCTCTGCTGAGACCCGGGCCCATGGGGCTGGCGGGCCCCACCGCGGGGTATCACAAGAAGGTCGGTGCGGGG